AAATTAAAATTTTATATAAATATAATATATAAATACATTTTTTCTTATATAAAAGAAATTCTGAAAAAAAAAAAATCTCCACTTCGGTGGCCACAATTACAATCAAGAGTAAAAGGTCGGAATGAAAAACGCGGATATCTCTCTAATATCAATCAAAGGTCAAAAAAAGAAAAAAGGTGGGGCCAATCACAAGCAAAACGGTCAAAAACGCAAAAGACAGAAGTTGGTGTGGGGACGGCATAAAAGTCCTAATAAAAGTAGAAATTCCATGTACATTTAAATTAAAAGGTAAAGAAGTAAGATGAAGGTGCTCTTCGTTCATGCTATAATTTTTTTATTTTTTGTTATGGTGTTTTTATATTAATAATTTAATTTTTTAATAATTTTAAATATATATTTTTATAATAATACGATATATTTAAAAAAATTAATTTATTTAAAATCGAATTTAAATTAAAAGATTGAAAGAGTTAAGGAAAGGAGAGGAGAGTGAGCCGACACATTTCCTTCACTTTGTTTGAGTAAATTTATTAAAAAAAGGGAGTTAAATGAAGGGTTGGTAATCGCTCCAAATCCTTTATTTTCAACGATTCAATTTTTAGGGATGTTCGCATTGTGGTTTGGTTCAGATTTTATTATTTTTTAAATTAATCTAATTTAATCGGTTAATAAAATTTTTAAATCAATTCAATTCATTATTATGTGGTAACTAAACCAATCCAATTTAAATCGGATCGATGTGATTCGGTCAAATTGATCAGTTTTTAATATTATTAAATATATAAGATAATGTAAAAATATTTTAACATCAAATAAAAAGTATAATTATAAAATACATTAACATCCAATCAGTAAAAACATAATAATAGGTAAAAATTATAAACAAAATTTTATATTCCTTTATATTTGTAAAAATAGAAAAACTCCGAAAATTATTTTTGGTTATATCACTAGAGACACCAAAAACAATAAAAAATAACTTTAAATTTCTAGCACAGCGTAAATAATTCTTGAAGATTAAAATTCTTTTTTTTTCCTAATGCACTGATAATTTAATCACATTTTTTATATCCTATTAAAAGTGAATAACATTTAACATGAATATTACTAAAATTGATTAGAAGCATTCATAATCAAAATTTAAAACTTCTAAATCAAATATCCAAAAATAGTAGAATATTAAGACTAATTTTATTATATAATTTTAGGACTTTTAGAATGATACTTATTTAAAATTTAATTAGGAGAACCATAAGATTATTTTAAGAATAAATTAAAAATTTAGGGTTCTAAGAGTAAAGGCGCAAACCAGTTATGAGATAATAGAGTTGCAGGTGAATTAGAAATTTAATAATAACTTAGGGAATATGAAAATGTTCTATTTTTATTTTTTTTAATTAAGTTAATGGAGTTATAATCTTGTAAAATAAGAAAAAAAAATTTTAAATACTACAAAAAAATGTGTTATATTATTTAATTAAATTATCTTGTAATCGGATTTTATTTTGTAATTGAGCAGTTTGGGCGGTTTGAAAGTAAAACCATGAACCAAATCAATTATATCGGTTTTAAAATTTTAAAATTCAAATCAATCCAATTTTATATTGGTTTGGATCGGTTTTTGAT